GATCTGGTACTGCGAGTATCTCCGCGACGCCCTCCTCTCGAGGTCACCACCCTTTTGCAGAGCTGCCAGCGCGCTGTTGGCCTGCTTTGGAGGCGGCGGCGGCGGCGGGAAGGCGTCAAGATTGAGATCCGCGTTGGGTGGGCCAGCGGGCATGGCCGTCTCGTCGCCGGGGTACGGTGGCATGACTGGCATATTCTGCATCGTGTTGCTCGACATGGAAGACTGGTCCGAGACGAGTGAGGTCCTAGACTGGTCGCGCGGCGGGAAACGACGGCTCGGCGACGCATTTGGGTTTTGGTTGGGATTTGAAGGCTGGCCCGACGTATCCTTCGACTGCAAATCCGGCCGATAGCCATTTTGTATGCCCTCCTCCAGCAGGTTGGTCAGGCCAGTATTGCCGCTGGCGACGGTGCTCGTGCTGACGGTGCGTTCGGGGGCAGAACCTGATGCGCCGGCTTCCCTGTCCCGCGCCTGTTTTTGCCTGAGTTTCTGCTGTTTCCTCTTGAGGCCGTGTAACAAGTTGATAATAATGTCTCGTATCCTTGGCAGGTATTTCTCGAGGCTTTCTGTGCTCGCTTCCTGGCTCAGAGTCGACTCGAGTATGTTTCGAAGAAGTTCTGGAACATTGCCTAGGTCAGACGTGTCGACGTTGATAGCGCTGAACGCGCGACAGGCCATGTTGAACTCGTATCCCAGCCTAACATATACATCGGACACTTGGCCGTCGGTCGCCTGGCCTCGAGACCATTGTGTCAGGGTTTCGAGCAGCTGTTTGGTCGCGACAAGGAGATGGGTGACGCTCTTCTCGATCTGGGAGAGGGGCATGTTCGCAGACCCCGTCGAGTCCTACAAGAATACACGTCAGTACCACGGCACCAAGAAGCATGCCGCAGATCCCAGCAGGGGCGAGCACATGACGCGTAGAAAGAGGGCGGGCGGCTCAGAAGGCCGGTCAGACCCAGGGCGAAGCCAGAAAGAGACAGAACGAGGGCGGAAACCGGCGCACCTTTCCTCTGCGCGAGCTGCTAGACTGCGCAGACCGGCTCGAGGCGGTCGACGACCGCATCTGGGGGTTCATGCCGACGCCGGGCGAGATGGGACGAACGGGGACATTCGGAGGAGGGCCAGGTTCGGTGGCGCCTGGGGAGCGGCGCTGCATGCGTGACGGGCCAGGTGCCTGCATCGTGGCGGTCGTGACCGGGTCGGTGATGCCTCTGGAGGGGTCGGGTCGGGTCGGGTCGGCGCGTCGTTTGCGAACGGGCGGCGAGGTGGCCACAACGTGATGGCGATGCGGTGCCTTTTTGCTGGGTGGGCACAATGTTCGAATGTGTTGCGCGGCCGTAGGATCGTTCCACCTCCTGTCTCTCTGCTACGAGACGGCCTAGTACGTGTCCTTGCCCCTTTTTTTTCTTGCTGTATTACGAGCGCGGCGTGCGGCCAACAGATGCACCGAATAGTATATCGAGTGGAAACAAATCGGGAGAGTAAACGATGGGGAGGGGGAACAGGGAGCCAGAGCGCTTGGTGGGCACCGGTGCCAGATCAGACGTCCATGAGGAGAGGCGTTGTGGGCGACGTCGGGCGGCGCAACAAGTCTTGTCGAGGGCGGAGATGAGATGGTGATTTCGCTGTCAAGTGGACGAACGAAACGGGACGACGACAGGAACGGGTCAGGTGCGTTCGGGCCAGGATGGATGGAGGATGCAAAGAATCCGGGCTGAGATGCAGGTCGATAGGGGATCTCCAGGACTGAGGTCAGGCCGTGTGACGAGCCAGGAAGGGAGCCAGGTCGCAGGCTGGCGTGTCTCACGTCTCACGGGGTGTGGCTGACCTCTGGGGGGTTTCTAGGTAGGTACATACCTTACCTAGGCAGGTACCTGCTGTAAGGTGCCCAGGGCAAGGTAAGGCGAGGTACCTACCTCCTAGGTAAATACCAGGTACACAGAGCTTCATGCCCTGTGCCAAAAGGCTGTGCCAAAAGACTGTGCCAAAGGCCAGTGTACCCATGCGCACGTGCCCTGCATCGTCGCCAGCCGCGCCAGCCTGACTGGCCCGTACCTGCTTTCGACAGCTGTTGGGGAACCCCGCTGGAACCCCCAAGGCTCCCCCCAAGGTTCCCCCTAAGGAAGTGCCGGGACCCCCCGGACCTCCCCCTCCCACCCTCCTTGGCCTGGTGAAACACTTCAACAAACACTCGACGTCTGTGAGGCCGTGGAGGATAAAGCAAGCAATGAGGGGGTCATGATGTACAGTGGCATCCGATTTAAACCAAGGTTCGACCTGGATATCCCAGCCGACGGCTCTCTCTCTTTCTTTCTCCACCCAGCACATCTGACGCCACCGTCCCAGATAGCGTCTACGACTTACAAGCTGATCGTAGATCAAGAGACAATCACATTCCTCTCGAGCATGCCAGCAACTTTGGCCTGGTCTAGAAACGCATGCCCCAAAGCTTTCCGAACCTCTCCCAGGCTTCCCGAACCGCAGCCAAGCAATGCAGATGCACCAGAGCAAGCCTACCGCCATCTGGAGGCCAGGCTGTTCCAAAACAGGTAACCATGCACCCCCAACGTCGCCAGCGGGTGCAGTACCGCCGGCGTCGAAAACTTGACATGCCTCGTCAGAACCCGCGCCATGATGCTCTGCGGTACACCCGGCGTGTGGAAGTAATCGTGCATCAGCTCGTCCGTCAGCCGCTGCACCTTTTCCATGCGCGGGAACATGTCCTTCTCAAAGGCGTCCACCTGCCGGTCGAGTGTCTCCTTCCCATCCTCCGTGTTCTGGGCGGCCGCGATGATGGACGCCGCCAGCCTCATGGCGTCCTCGAGGGCCACGTTGACGCCCTCCCCGGCAAAGGGCCCCATGAGATGCGCCGCATCGCCAATGACGGTGACACCTCGGTGGTGTTCCCATCGGAAGCCGACGGGCAGCATGTACAGCGACCTCGTCTTGCAGGCCCCTTGTGGCTTGAGGATGGCGTCGGTGATGGTGCTGTCCCAGTCGCGATACTCCTCCATCAAGGCCTCTTTGGCGGCTGCCAGGTCTGACGTGTCGTGCCCGCACTTCTCCGGCCTCATCCAGTCCGCCCCGTCTTTCAGGGATGATACGTAAACGTTGAGGCTGCCGTCGCCCATCTGCTGGATCGAGAGGCGCTTTCCATCCGCGTGACCGAAAACACTGCCCCTGTTGACGAGCTGATAGAGCTCCGGCGCCGTCACGCTGGCATTCGGAATGCTGAGCTCGTAGAGCCCAATGCCGGTGTAGGTGGGATCAACGTCGGGCTTGACGAATTTGCGGACTTTGCTCCAGGCGCCTTCGGCACCCACGACGAGGTCGAAGTCAGACGTCGTCAGCTTGTCAAAGACGAGCGTGTTGGGCGCCTCGACACGCCGAAGACGATGATCCCACTTGATCATGCCCTCGGGGAGGGATGCCGCAAGGATGCGCCGCAGCTGCGCGCGGTCGATTTCGGGCCGTTCCTGGACGTCGCTCCGCGCACTGGAGGCTCCCATGACGAAATGCTGGCGCGCGTGCCGGTCGACCCAGGCGATGTACTGCCCGTCATATCGCGCGTGTTCGAGGAATTCGTCCCATAATCCGGCCTCTTTCATGGCAAGGAGGCCGGTCGATGTGTGGAGGTCCAGTGTCCCGCCTTGGGATCGAAAATCGAGGGACGCCTCGCTCTCAAACACGGTGACGCTCACATTGGCCCGATGGAGGAGTCTCGCGAGCATGCAGCCTGAGGACTGTTAGACGGGACAAGGCACAGAGGGGTGAGAGCAAAAAATGTACCAGCCGGGCCAGCACCGATGATGGCAATCTTAGGCCCCATGGCCGGAGGAACTGCTGTATCCTGGGAGGCGGTCATGTTGAAGGTACTGATAGACGATGGGATACGATGAACATTGTAGCCGCGCCCTTTTTAGGGACGGTCAAACGTCGTATAAGTAGTTTCAGCTTGTACTCAGGGCCATTGTCCATGTATGTAGACAAACAGCCACATGGCGTGAGGCTGGCTTGCGGCAACAATGTATGAATGCCACGCGGCGTTGTTATAGGGTGAAGTCAGTTCGCTCAGCTAGGCTTGACGGACATGGTGTATTGGCTGCATCAGCGACAACTTCCCCAACGCAGGTGCGAGTGCGAGTGCGCCGTGCAAGACGTTGCCGAATTCGTCACGGCGCGGGTGAATCCATCCATGCTCAGCATGCTCAGGGTGAGCTCTAGACAAGTGTCGGCACACTACATTGCATTGCCGCGAGGTCCACTGGGATGGGATGCCCCGTGTGTTGTCCGAGGTCTGTTGTCCAAGGTATGTTGTCCAAGGTGGGCAGGGCTGATGCTCGCCGTGCATCAGACACAAGACATCAACGGCCTCAGAAGCGACTGGCTATGCTGATCGAGCAGGTTGAACATGGGCAAGGTGTGTCGAGGCGGGGCTTTCCGGGTGGATGGAGGGAGGTCAGAGGAGGAGGAGGAGGATGACTGTTGGGTGAGTTGGGTCCACCTTGCATGTATCTTGTACCTTTCTGGTCGCCTCAGGCCGAAACACCAGAAGTGAGCTTCCGACGCAAATCCCGACCGAGAACCTTCAATTGGCATCACCACCATCGCACCCGTAACCACCCACCCCAATCTCTCCCATCACCAATCCTCGCTCCGTCACCAATCGCCAACATGGTCTTCGCGTGGAAAGCCGCCGGCATCACGTGAGTGCAATTGCGATCCCCTTCTGCTGGCCGTCCGAATGTCCCGCATCGCCATGGGCAGGAAAACGAAATGAACTGGCCTCCGAGAACTGACCCGCCGCTTCCCGAACCATAGCTACAACCGCTTCCTGGCCGTGTCCGCACGTGCTGTGCGTCGCAGCCTCAAGGAGGACAAGAGGATCATCGCCGAGCGCCGCGGTGCCGTCGCCGAGATCAGGTTCGCCAAGTGGGAGGTAAGCCGACACTGAATGATCTGCCCCGAGCCAGAGCGCCCCCTGGGGACGAAGGGGGGGCGTGGCAAGAAGGGTGGAAAAGAAAGAACATGGGCGTGAAAACGGAACGCTGACCCAAACACCGCGACGAACAGAACGGCAAGATGGGCGAGCCCAAGGACCTCGTCAAGGCCAACGCCGCCCAGGCTGTCGAGAATGCCGCCGCCGGCTCCTCGTAAGCCCGTGTATCGAACGCAAAAGGGGAGGATGATGGGTGGCAGTGGAGGAGCAGGAGCAGGAGCACCAGCAGCAGCAGGGTGTGTGTGAGGAAGTAGACGGGAGGGAGGAGGATACCTGCGAGATGCATCTCCCCGCCCGCTCGCCCGCTGGTCAAGGGGCGGCTGTATCATAGAGACGACCCGCGTTATTCGATATCAATTCCTGCTAATGATGCGGTCTACTGGATTCTGCCATGGGCTTTACATGGCTTGTCCGTCTTCTTATACGTGCTGTTGTTTCGCTGGACAGCTGCTGGGTCGGATACATACACCACCATCAGTACCGCCAGCGTCTGCCGGGCAAACTCGGCACTAAGCCGCGTGCCCACTTCTGTCTACCCAAGTGAGCTGGCAGACGCCCAAACATAAACCATCATGTTGGTTTTTTGACCTCAGGCTGTCCATCTACTGCGTGTGACTCGTTCTTTCTTGATGGCATCGGAATCATTGAGCATTGCTGGATGTATTGGAGCAGCATCTGAACACCCCTCGGTCCTTCCCGTCTCTGTCGTGACTGCATACCAAGGTAGTAGGTACTGGGTGGATTTTGCATCAACGGCGCCTGTCATTTGAACGAACAGCCCCTCCACTCACCTCACTTCACTCGGCCTGGGCACCTCACGTACTAAACTCGCCTCCAACCTGCATGGCCAGCCAAGCTTTGGGGCTCACGATCGCTTTGCACCACCACACACGATGGCGGCCTCGCCCGCTCTCGAGGCGTCACAAGGTACACGGAAACCAGCCCTGGTTCTTGGTTCTTGGTTCTTGGTTCTCGAGCTCGATCGCTGACCCCGTCCAGACATCTCGAGGCTCTCCCTCGAGGAAATCCGAGCTCATGAGCAGCCGAGACCCGCACCACCTGTACCAGCGTCCGCGTCGACCCCTGGCATAGTCGCATTCGACATAACGTCTCGGTTCCGGAAAGCAGCGTCAAGTGAGCATCTCTCTTTTACCGGCAAGTCCGACGTGGACCGTCGGCTGACCACATGGCAGCACTTGCACCTGGCGAGCTCGTCAAAGATGGCTTCTTCACTCTGTTTGAGTCTGTCGGTGCTCTCGAGGTTTGCTTCTCTCTCGCCGCCCCCTGCAGAGCATGCCAAGCTGATGAGGCCAACCCCAGATCATGGACCCCAAGATGGACAGCGGCTGCTTGGAGCCGGGTGAGTCCCTCGACAACGACTATGACGTATCAAAACCCTTGCTGCCCGAAGAAGTCCTCGGCATCATCGACCAGCTGCTCTGCCACGAAGTGAGCCACCCACGTATTTCGCCACGTCTCTTCACTCAGACTGATCTTGTTTTCTTCTTCTTCTTCTTCTTCGTAGATGGCCTGGCATGTCGGCTACCCTCTCTCCCAGACGGTTTTCACATGTGCCTATGTCGAATCGATCCTGATGCCTGCGCCCTCGACGCTCGACGAAGCACACTTTATCAGAAATCCTGCCGTCACAACGCCCTCGCCCATGCACGCTGTGCTGCGAGCCTACTGCCTCGGTCTGCTCAAGACGTGCGGACAGGTCAACGAGAGCATCATCAACGAGCACTACTACGAGGCTCGTGCTTGGCTAAAAACAAACCCCTTGGCTCGGCTCGTCGTGCTAACAAACATGACAGGAGGAAGACTTTGTCACAAATACATACCACAGAAACCTCCTGGACAAATTTTCCATCGAGAGCGTTCGCCAAATTATTCTAGAAACGAGCAGCCTCCTCCAAGGTCTCGAGGACTCGGTGCCCACCGACATCATCCGCGCCCTCCATGACCGGCTGCTGTTGCGACACAGTTTTCTGGCGGCCACCGACGCCATTCAGTACCGCACAGCTCCCGATCTCATCCGAGGCCCCTGGAGGGAGTCCCTCGCCATGGTACAGGGACTGCAGAGCAGCCACGCGCTGGCAAAGGATGTCCCCGACGCTTTCAGCGCAAAGCTGCAGCGGAAGCTTGCTAGTACCATGCCGCCGCGGCCGATCGTGCAGCTGAGCTTCGACGACGCCTTTGGGCACATCAAGCGACTCTTTGAGGATGGCGTCGAGGTTATTGACGTGCTCGAGTACCACGACTCGCAATGTCTTCAGGTAAGAGACTGTATCCAAAGGAGAAATAAAAAAAAATATTTCTATCAAGGAAATGGACCTGCCTGCCGTTTGCCATGCTGACCACCAATCAAGACCTTTGTCCTCACATTCCAGGCCAAAAAACCCCAGGCTCTCATCTACATCCGGACGCTGCTGCAGAACTTTCTGTTCAAGGACATGGAGGTCCTCGGGCACATGAGCATACGCATGCTACTGGACAACGACCTCGCCATCGTGGCGCTGCCGTGCAGCACGCTGCTGGACCGGGCCAACGACGACGTCGAGGCGCCGCAGGACCCGCGCTTCATCGTGGCCGAGACGATGGAGACGTTCCGTCAAAAGGCGGCGCAGCCGTACCTCGACATCCTGCGGACCTTTTGCCAGAACCGGTGTCGCGTGCGGCGCACGCTGTGCCACGTGGTCCGCGACTGGGAGAACCTCCAGTTCGAGGCCGAGGACGTGGACCAGATCCTGCAGCACCAGACGGGCGCGCAGCCCATCGTGTACCGCGCCGCCGACGGCGGGGCGTCCGTCGAGACGTTCGCCCTGTCGCTCTCGTCGTGGGCGCACCTCTACAAGCTCCGGCGGATGGAGTGGATTGTCCAGCTCGGCGTCGAGCGGAGGTCTACCGGAAAGAGGAGGTCGCCGGCATGGAGGGATGCGAGGGGCGGGTAGGCAGCGGAGGCATGGTGCGTCTGCGAGCGGTGCGGAGAGGTGGGGGGGGCGGAGCAAGAGGCAGGCGGGGACAGAAGGGAGAGTAGAGGTTGGCCGGAGGGGGAGAGGGAAGGTGAGGGGTGAAATAGGGGCGTGGGAGCGGATGGCGCAGCGAGGCACGAACGAGAGGGAGGACGCAGTGGGAAGGGCGGGGGGGTGAGGAGGTGCGAGACTATAGTGCTCGAGAAGAGCGATAATCAGGAGTGGCAGCAGTGAGAAGGGGACGGAGA